ACACAAACAGATGATATAGAAACAGACTTTTCGAAAGTTTTATCAGACTATACAAAAAAAAACACAACAAAATTCTTAAAGAGCAAATTCAATATTAACAAACAATGTTTTTCAATTATCTTTAACTATTTATTTATACTAGAATTGAAAGAAACAGAAAATGGCAATCAAACATCCCGACATTCATCCGTAATAGAAGAAGTCTGTATTTTCTCAAATTTTTTAAAAACAATCCGTGGAAATCTCATTAGCCACGAAATCTCACAAAATGTTAAACATGATCTACAAAAGATAATATCATGGTTTATAATTTATTATTTGGTACATAACATTGATCTCATAGCACTATCAAGAAAAAGTTTTCGACCACAAAATTCAGACGATGAAACTGTATTAGCAGATGAAACAGATTATGTTTGGGACCCTGATTGGTCTTATCCATTATTTATTAATTTACCAACTGATAAATTATGTCAAGCATTCACCACCATTTCATCAATAAAGACTACGTTAGAACAACTCCACTTACTATTGATGCAACACCTTCAAATTATAATGTAATGTTCACTGACAGAACAGGAAATAATAGCTTAAACTCCACATTCATTAACACAAGAAAATGTAAATGGAACAAGAAATCTTACAAAACAAGATATTTAAACTCCTTCACATTTCAATAATGAAGAAAGAGTCAAAACAATGCCAAAAACAACGCAACAAAGCATTTCCCCCATTCATCCTACACTTACAACTCCAAAAAAAATACAGCTTTTCCGCAAACAAGTATACACTCCACAGTAAAAACTTCTGTTATTCCAAAATACACACAAATGGATTATCAAACACTTAAACCAGTAACGACATCACGACAAACAAATAAACAAAAAAAACGTCTAACAGAAACAACTTTTCAGATCATAACTATAACTTTTTTGCAAAATCCAATGCAACAAAACCCCTTTTATAAACAGTCAAAATCAATCACAAGCACAAAACTACAATCAAAACGTATAACAACAAACCTCTCGCACAGCAATTTTTAAGGATCAACCACAGCTAAAATAGGTCGTAGCAAAAAGTATCCATTTTTCCAGCAAAACAAAAACATGACTAATAAACACCATAAAAGGAATCAAACAAATTATTTAGAAGATGAAGATTACTATAGTCAAAATCAGCAACGACTCAGTACCAATGAACAGAACGATAAATAGAATATTGATCAACCAGATATTTTCGAACCATATACACGAAACGAACAAACACGACAAACAAGACATTACCCAACATCATATAATAATAACTTTCATCACAAAATCCTTTAAAACACAAAATTAACAACCAACACAAACGCAGAATGAAATCTCATTCCCATGTTATTTACAACAGCAAACTGAAATAACAAAAACACAACTTACAAAATTTTCTCAAATACCAAATGCCGCAGAATCTTTACAAATGCCTATGAATCCATCCCTTATGGGTCGATCTTCTATATCTTCTAATAAACCACTAATGGTATTCACAGGAACAGATCCTGAATACCAGATCCTAGAAGATTATCTAAAAATGCACTCACAGCCAATTCAATTTCAAATATAGGACCTGAACCAGTTAATACACCACTCCATCAAAGTTGGATACATAGATGCACAGCTCTAATCCAAACCACACTTGATGGCGCAGCCCAAAAATGGTTTTTAGTTTCACCTATAGATATTAAATCAGATTGGGAAAGATTCACACAAACCTTTTCAAAAAATTTTGACTCTGAAAGAAACAAACAACATCAAAGAGTTCTATGCAATGAAATTCGTAGACTCCCTAAGGAAAAAATTAACAACTTGCAGTAAAAAATGAAACATTGGTAATAAAAGCATATTCCCTTAATACGCATGACTATACAAACACAAAAATGACAGAAATTTTATTGACGACTCTAACAACACAATTACGGAAAGTAGCAAAATAAAGAGAGCATCGCATCCATCTTCAATTCGAGAACCCGATATAGACTTCCGAAAACAAGTAGATAAATTAGAACAAGCTGAACTCACATTGGAACTGGAAGAAACAGGAAATATAAAATCACAATACGTAAATGTTTATGACTCTGACACTGAACTAGCTGAAAAAATCACTCAAATATTAAATATTTACGGGAAAGATCCAAATTTTAAAGACAAACCATCCTTCAAAATTGGTGATATTATTACCGTAGGTATGGACATAGCATTGCTGAATGTAGACCGGAACAGCAGGATAATCAGAACAAACCACAGAAATATACAGAACCAAATAAATCATTTTATAAATACATGAAAAAAGACCAAAGCTTACCAAAAAAAAACTTCACAGTATTAATAGTTCAGGAAAACCACTTCCAGATAACTATAATACCTCTTGACAACATTCACTTTACAGAAACAAAACAAAAGCAAATGATCAAAAAATGATTTTCAAAACGACGAAACGCAGTCTCAGAATCAGTAACAAACACAATAGAGGATTTTCAAGATTGAAAATATTAAATAATTAATTTAACCTGATAGACGACCAAAAATATATTTTTCTGACTCAGAAGCTACAACATCATCATCAATAAAAGTAAAACGCAAAAAAAGTCATATATCAACAAACCAATACGTCTATATATTTGGAATCAACCAAGAACACATATTGAATAATAGACACTAACAATTCTACAGTATAAAACATGATCAAATACAACAAAATATTCGATGATAACTCAAAACTCCTATTTTTTATAAAACAGCAAAATGTTCCCGCCCGAGGAAAAGTACAATTTTGTTAAACTTTAACTGTAATTTCATTTGAAAAAGGAAATAGCTCAATTAAACAAGAATTTTTTGAAGTAAGAATA